TTCTAGGACAGACGCTGCACTAGCGGTAGTAAACCATTTATTGGCTAGAAACAACGTTTAGCCAGCGTTAGTAAACCGTTTATCAGCCAGGAATGACGCTGAGCTGGCTGTAGTAAACCGTTTATCGGCCAGGAATGACGCTGAGCCTTACACGCAGTCTTTCTGTGTTAAACGCTCATGCCCTTCAAGTAAACTCCGATATTCGCCGCATCTTTTTAGTCTGCCCTGCAGGAGCGTAGCTCACTGATACTACCAACGACATCGATGTTTTACTATAGTTTCAAATCAAGTATACGATCTTCAAACTGATAGATGAGGCGTATTTTTCCGATGGATGACTGTTTAAAGTCTAACCTCGTTCTTTCGCAATTTTATAGTAAACTTCGTAATCTTTGTATTTCAAATAACTCATCCTACCTGACACATCCCTGGCAACCATCAAACCAAGGAAGACATACCACAGCCATCTCCTAATTAGGCTACCCATCTTGATTGAAATCCACTGAGCGGCTTTAAGAACTGCAAAGTTTAGAGAAAAACAAAACTGTTTTTTTTTATCGCCCATAAAAATGTTTTTATTTCTTTAAAGCATTGGCTAACCTCTGTAACATAAAGTGTTCAATTAACTTTGTTTATAAGTTCCAAAAAAAATCTATGATGTGGGGTGGGGGCATAAATCAAGATTTACTGAATGAAAATAAAAACATGCATTGCTTTTCGGAATGTTCAATGATGTAGATTGTATTGGCAGCTCTACACTAGAGTTGAGAATGAAATTCTTTAAACCATTGAATATCCTAAGAAATTAATATTGGTAAGTTTATGAGATAATCGGGTTGTCGCAAGTAATCTCAAAGAAAACAGGAATCGCTGTAAACACAATAGGGACAAAAATGTCAAAAGTATCAAGCCAATTGCTAATTTGTGTGCTCTCTGGGGATAAGATTTCACTTGGATATCTTGATCCTTGGATACCCATTACACACAAAAAAATGTCAATCACGGGCAAAGTTTAACAATCCTTCATCTTCACATATAAATAAATGCATACAATCTTTAGACATTCGTTTAAAATCAAATATAACGGAGTTTATCCTGTAAATCATTTCACCAACAGCCAACGATTTATTTTAAGTCTAAAATGACAACTTTAATTAAATAATGACAAGAAAACAAACCAAAATCACTTGAGGTGTCTTACCAGTCTTGTCAATTAGAAGCAGGCGAATATTCCGTCTCACTGTTCCTCCCTGTCCTTTTATATTCCACCCTGGTCAACAGTAAATACAACTGCTATGATAGCCTCACCGGAGAACTGCGCGGGTCTGAAGCGATGGTTCTTAAAATTTTGCATCTAACTTGACCTCAGTTTCGGAATTTGAATTTCATCGCGTCACATAAAAAAATTGAATTAACAAATGTTTTTATATAATATTAATTTTTAAAATTTTTTAACATTAAAACAAAAACTAATTTACAGCTATAGTGAAGATGAAAGAAAATTAAACTACTTTTTTCAGTTTAGAAGAATGTAATATATTTTATCCCTACAAATGATCTGGTGAAGGTATTCGGTAAAGAAGGACAAAATCTCATGAGTAAAACAGAAGACATGGTCTTTAAACGTTCATTTGTTTACCTGAAATACCTTTACACAACTACTGCATGAATGAGATCCGTGGCGGCGAAGACCAGATCGATAGTTTAAAGGCATGAACCTGCCAGAGTGTCACCTGCCAGAGGATCACCTGCCAGAGTGTCACCTGCAAGAGTATCACCTGCCAGAATGTCACCTGCCAGAGTGTCACCTGCCAGAGTGTCAACTGTTGACACCTGCGTCCGTGAAGTGATCCTCCCCAGCCCCAAGCCAGTCTTTTTCCTTTAAACACAAAACAGCCATTGCACACATCAACGTGCAAGGGGAACATCATTGCTTCTGGAACTTTGCATGTGCACGCAACTGAACTAGGCAGAGAACATTAGTCCCTTCCTATTGAACTAAAGTCAACTTTATAGCACGGCTAAATATAATAACAAATGCAATATTCTGTGGAATTTGTAGTTTTAAAATGTTTATACCAAACATAACTTTCGGTTACATATCACACATTAGGCTCATTAAGGATTGAAGAGTTTCTTTGAAACCCAATATCCATGTCACGCTCAATACTCATCTAAATTCTCATCTCATCCCCACCATCCATCAGGTCTCATTAGTGATGTTCAGATACAGAGCAGCAAATATCATTGTCAAAGTTATCAATGTACAGGTAAATATCACCCATTACCACATGCGTCTCCTCACAATCTAGCATATCACATGGAACAAATATTTACGCGCACATCAAATAGGTTTTGGCCACTTTATTGACGCAATCAATGCAGTCAATGTAATCTACGCAATCAATGCAATCAACGTAATCAATGTAATCAAGGTAATCTATACAATCAAACCAATCAATAGAATTAATTCAATAAATAAAATTAATACAATAAATGCAAACAATTCAATCAATGCAATGAATTCAATCAAAGCAAAAAAAATGAAATCAATACAATCAATGCAAACAATGCAACAATTCAACTAATTCAATTAATCACTGCAATGAATCCAATCAATTCGATCAATACAAACAAAAAAATCAATGCAATCAAACTAGTCAATGCAACCAATGCAATCATTCACAAATACGTAGCACATATATCCCCGGGCTGATGACTCATCATGAAACACTTTCATTAGTGTCTATTTAATTTATTAAACTCTCATTAAACACAAGAACTCACAATTTTTTATTATCGATAGATTTTTATACAATTTTATCGATTTTCAAATATTACCAGGGAGTCTTTTAGCTTTACAATAGATTAATAAGACACGAACAAATTGTGTCGATATAACAAAAGGTGCGGTAAATTATACATACGAGAGACAGGTCGTCGCCTTGGGGACCGGTTCAGAGAGCACCTCTATAACATAAATAAACACGCTCTCTGTCCGGTCTTCAAACATTTCAATAGCCCTAACCATGATGGTATCTCAGACATCGCAGTTACTGGTATGCTGTATACTAGTAACACTACAGATAGAATCTATATGGAGAACAAATTAATAACCAGATATTGTACGTTGTCTACATATGGAATGAACCAAATCCACAACTTTACCTAACTGCCATGTCTTTTTCCTGTTTGGTTTTTTCAATTATGTTAAAATCACTTCCTTTCTACTCCTCTTTACTTTGTTTTTGTCTGGTTTTAGCGCCCTCTCCTATTTTTTTCTGATTTTGGTAGGATATGTATATTTATATTATGTAAATTTAATTTATACTTATTTAAATGTGTTTTGTTTGTTTGTACTGATGAAGGCATGTGCCGAAACATTTACTTGTGTATAATGTATAATGATTATTAAATCATAATTAATATTGTTATATTGACACAATTTGTTCGTGTCTTATTAATCTATTTAAAGCTTTATTGCAGTCCAACACTTTTTATAATTAGCTTTACAATAACTTTTTAATAATAGTTTAAGTGTCGTTATCCTATAATTCTTATAGACGTGATCAAATCGGTTCACTAAAAGATATTGTCTGGAGCTAGACAATTTAATTACAATATATTGCCCCATTCATCTCCAATTTAACTGGAGGCAAAGTAATCAGCCCTTGTGAAAAAGTATTCCTATTACATTAAAAAATATGTTATTACATTTTAAAACTGTTTGGCATGAAACATTTTTTTTTTCAATCTTCACGCATTATAAGAACACCGTTGTAAATATAAGATTGAGGTCTGTTTGATAAAAACGAAATTGTTTATAATCGGAAACAGGCAACCAACAATGTTTACAAGGATTACCAATTGAAGTCATTAATGTTGTTTCCTAAAACTACTTTATGCTCACACTCAATAATATTGTACCAAAACATATTTTACTAGTTCCTTAAAGTGCCTACGATATATTCATATATCCTAATAGTCCCAGAGATATGTTCCTATATCCTAATAGTCCTAGAGATATGTTCCTATTTCCTAATAGTCCCAGAGATATGTTCCCATTTCCAAACAACTCTTACGACATGCTCCTATATTCCAACAGTCCCAAAAATAAGTTTCTGTATCCGAACAGTCGCAAAGATATGTTCCTTTTTTTACAACAGTCCCAATGCAATGTTTCTATCTCCCAACAGTCTTAATTATATCCTTCTGTAACCCAACACCTTGCACATTATATTCCTATTTCCCAAGAGTCTCCCACCTTACCAGTGTTTGTAATGGTGAGGGAAGCGCTGAGAACCACCAGTTCTTCACGCATCACCGCACCAACTTTCAGCTCCATGAAAGCAGACGGTCGCGTTCCTTTGTAAATAAGCTGTTGTAAACTTTTAATTTGGTGAAAGAACCGTCTCAATCTTTGCACCTATTCTTCACGAATGTACGAATAACTTCCTGGTAAGACATAAAAGATGTTTGTTTGTATGTGAAGCAAGGTTAACCTGGTCGTGGAAATAGTTCGCATATACGCCATCGTCTTTGCATGTTTTCCTAGTTGTGTATTTCTCAGGAGATCTCAGGGTGCCATTTCAAAGCAGTGTAACGCCCTACTGGAATGGTTCTTAGGAGCACTCAGGGTGCTTTTTCAAAGCAGTGTAACGCGCCCTACTAGAATGGTTGTCAGGAGAACTCAGGAGGCCATTTCAAAGCAGTGAATTGCCTTATTAGTATGGTTCTCATGAGCACTCAGGGTGCCTTTTCAAAGCAGTGTAACGCTCTACTGGAATAGTTCTCATGAGCACTCAGGGTGCCTTTTCAAAGCAGTGTAACGCTCTACTGGAATAGTTCTCAGGAGCACTCAGGGTGCCTTTTCAAAGCAGTGTAACGCTCTACTGGAATAGTTCTCAGGAGCACTCAGGGTGCCTTTTCTAAGCAGTGTAACGCCCTACTTAAATGTCGTGAACAGCCAAACTATTAATTAACCAATATAATTGTGATCGCTTGAAATTTTTGGGTGGACATTTACAATTTGAGCTGGCAATAGTTTTGAATATTGACGATTAGAAAAGGTCACGGGCACAAGAATTTATTGGGAACACATTGGGAACCAGGATGATAAGATAAATAGTTGCTGCCATACCAGTCAGACAGTATATGGCCAAACAACAACTTTGATGAATATTTTTTTTCTCCTCTTTTTAAGTAATTTATTTGGATGCAAATAAATATTGGAATTGATCAATCAAAATACGTATAGCATATCACTCACATAGTTTCTTATCCAATATTGCGACAGTCTCATTAACCAACATATTATTACTTTGAAGCACATCAAGGTTAAGAGCCCTTACGTTTAAAATGCATGGGTTATGCTTTCTCTAACATATATTTATATGCATATATTAGGTGAGCGTGTATGTGTGTGTTTTAACTGTTAATTAAATTCTATTGGAAGGCATGTTAAAATGATCCAATCACCAAACCTTTTTGCTAGCCACGCCAATGATGCTTTAGCTACAAGGCCGTCAGGTCAAGGTCACAACTTTGAGCCATAGGGAAGAGATCCGGTTGGGAAGGTTTAGTTAAGCAAAGATGGGAATCACCGGAGCTGACCCTACAAACTAAAAATGGAGTGTGGGACACAAATCTCAAATCAGTCCAAGCGAACACTTGGAGACCAGCGGCGAGCATCACGCAGGAAATACAGATCTTCACAAAACTTTCTTAGAAAGATCCTGACCATGAACTGGCCAAACGTCACCCACAACCAAGGCTTACTGGAAAAACGTACAAAGGAACCTGTTTCTAAAATAACATCACAAAGAAAAGAGGAAGTGGATAGGGCACACTCTTCAAAGATGAACTGGATGCACACTCTTCAAAGAGGAAGTGGATAGGGCACACTAATAAAAGATGAAATGGACGTGGTACACTCTTCAAAGATGAAGCGGATAGGGCACACTCTTCATTAAACCCCAGAAAACATCACCAGACTATCCTGACATGGAAACTACAGGTGAAAACGAAGAGAGAAAATAAAAAGAAGACATGCAGAAACACATAGTATTGTATACACATGGAGGCAGCTGGAATGGATAGGAACAAGATGAATGGAAGAATCTTGAAGACGACATTTGCCGGGGGGAGGGGGATCATACTTAAGTAAATATACATGACGTCACACGTGTTAACTTCAATGTATTATGCCGATGAAAATGTGTTTTTTTTTAAATTTAAGTTTTTCATTCAATAGAATTCATTCTTAAATATTTATCGTAATCATTAAGAAAAGTGATACATTTAGATATTCTTTTGTATTATGGTTAAAATCAATTCACAGGTAAATATAAAAATGACAATATTTATTATTAATATAGTCTCAAATAAAAATGCTTCAATCACTGTTTTAAACTGCTTTATAAATACACGTCATCTTTTGGATTACTACTGATTTGATTAATCTTTGAATCCTTTACGAAACAAATCAGTAATTCAAAGTTCTATAGACATAATTTATTGCAGTCTCATCAAATTAAATATTTAGAATGTATCTATATTTCATCCATTTTTGTCAGCAACACATGTTGATCATAGTGTCGTTTTCTATGTGCCCAATGTTCATCGACGAACATAAAAGTATAACACTTTATTGGTTGAAGTTGTCTGTTTACCATTAAGACATATCAACTTGAGGTATAACTTGCGGTCCATCATAGTACATAATGGGGTATATAAGCATATATATTTATATATAAAAGACTATGATCAGATTGACATTGTGATGTAGCAAGAGAAGGTATCAGAAAATACATTACGGGGCCTTCCCCACGTCCTGTACGTAGGAACACCTTGTTTGGCTTCCAGATAGTTGTACTGAGACAGCAGACGTCGAAGATGCTGTAACCAGAATTCAGCCTTGGCACAAATTAATGACAATCAAAACTATTCAAAAGTCCTATAATGAAATTGAAATTTTAGCTGATGATGACTGCTGTATCATCGTTTCCATCTGGAGAGAAGTCTGTCTCGGATGTCGTAAAAACACGATATTTAGGATAGCTTGGTCCCAGGCAGGACCTGCAGAGTCTATCTCGCAGTCTGAAATGACAAGATGTATGATGTTGTTTAGTTTCAGTGTTGACTTTTAACATACTTATGTAGTCATTTCGAGGCCAACAAATGTAACATTAAAAGTAGGAATACAAATTATGGGCGACCACGAATACTATGAAATGTGTAAGCCTAGAAAAGAAACAAAATATCAATATTTTGTTATTTGTATATTATATCAATATTATGATGATATAGGCTACTTTAAAAAATTCATTTAAAGACGATTTAGCTTAAAACCCGTGTGAATTAGCAATCGACACTGTTCAGGTTGAATTCATTTTCTGACATGTCGTTAACCACTCAAGCAGGACTACCTCTCTCCATGGATGGTTAAATACATTGATTGGCTACATTCAGTGACTCCCGACGGATGGACGGCGAATTTGCCGCCGTTATCGGTGAAAAAAAAATTCTGGATTTGACCAAAAATGCTGCCGTTCAATGTTAAGAAACAAAAAAAGCAAGGGGGGTGGGGGTTGGTAGACCAGACAACCTACGCTCCTGGTTAAAAATAGTTTTGATAAACTTTCAATTTTTAATGACTGGACTTTTGCCAATATTTAAAATCTATTAATTAGCCGACATCGAATAAGACAAAAGGTTTACAGGTTATTTCAAGGGAAAAAAAATAATCAAGTTGTAATTTTGGATTTTAATAGACCTTGCAGCGGGAAAAGAGTTAACACACCATTATGGTTTTCAGAACATTGCGCAACAGTATTAAGATATTTCTATAAGAAATACACAATTGTACGAAGGGCATACGTCATAGGCTTCCACAGATCACATGCGCCGCTGACTGAATTAATTTATATCGTTATTATGCGGTAAGCAGATTGAAATAATTTGACACACAACTTTGATGACACACGGCTTTGATCACACACGGCTTTGAAGACACACGGCTTTGATGACACAATAACATTTAGCGCTTATAGATTCCATTAGAAGTTACAATATGCCCCAAGAATTGATCTTAGAGAGAGTCATTGTCCAGATAATAATCATCCAATATCTGTTTCTCGCATGCTTATATCATTATTTAAAGCTAACACTGAATGCTACTCACATATATATAACAACTGCTACCACAGCTAGGACAACACACGCAACGACTGCTGCCACTATCAGTGCTACTGTGCTGCCATCAGCAGAAGCTGCATGTAAAGGATGTATGACAGTATGAGACCTTACATACAGTGTATTACCAGTTATAAAATGTAAAGATATTTCAGATCTAATATCATTTCTAAAACCTGAAATTTATGAAAGCAAATGATAAAATTAGATGATTATAAATCATATGAAAAAATATGATATTTATGAAATCAAATGATAAATTGATTGGAAATAGGGGAAAGTGACAAACTTCATTTTAATAAACTAATGATTTTTATATCATTTCTTTTTATCACATGAAAAGGCGATGAAACATGTTGGATATCACATTAAATGGGTGATTTAAACACATATTACATGTCACATTCTAAGGGCGCTAAAGCACATAATGGATGTCACATTCAAAGGGGGCTAAAACACATTGTGGATGTCACATTCAAAAGGGGCTTAAACACATTTTAGAGTCACATTAAAAGGGCGCTAAAACTCATGTTGGATGTTATATTCAAAGGGCGCTAAAAGCACATGTTGGATGTCATATTGAAAGGGAGCTAAAGCACATGTTGGATGTCATATTGAAAGGGCGCTAAAGCACATGTTGGATGTCATATTGAAAGGGCGCTAAAGCACATGTTGGATGTCCCATTGAAAGGGCGTTAAAAAATTCCTTCTTTTAGGGCGCTTAAAAAAGAATGCAATGTCCCGGGGCAGTTTTTGCTTGCCAGTCGCATACAGTTTTTTATATTTTATAACATTAAAACGGGTATTCTTTTTCTTTTTTTTTTTGTTAGTTTGAGGTTAGTGTCAAGTCGTGTCGTAGTGTCATGTCATGTGGTAGTGTCATGTCATGTTATAGTGTCATGTCATGTCGTAGTGTCATGCCATGTTGTAGTGTCATGTCATGTTGTAGTGTTACGTCCTATTGTAGTGTCATGTCATGTGGTAGTGTCATGACATAGCGTAGTGTCATGTCCTGTTGTAGTGTCATGTCATGTTGTAGTGTCATGTCATGTTGTAGTTTCATGTCATGGTGTAGTGCCATGTCATGTTGTAGTGTAATGTCATGTTGTAGTGTCATGTCATGTTGTAGTGTCATGTCATATCGTATTGTCATGTCACGGTGTAGTGCCATGTCATGTCGTAGTGCCATGTCATGTTGTAGTGTCATGGCATGTTGTAGTGTCATGTCATGTTATATTGTCATGTCATGTCGTGGTGTCATGTCATGTTGTAGTGTCATGTCATGTTGTAGTGTCATGTCATGTAGTAGTGTCATGTCATGTTGCTTTCAAACACCGGAAGTTCAGCCAAAACTATTTACCTGTATTGAACTGGTGTGTTTTGTTCACGTTGCTGTCGTTGGAATATGGGTCATTGAACAAGCCCGTGAGAGTTTCTGGGTGTGAAGAAATAAGGAAATGAATTAAGCGGGCATTTTTTTTTTATTTGTCGGCTTAGACTTATTCGAAATAATGTGATTTCAATATCTGTAAAGCATTGTTACCTCAGGTTCAGCTGTAAGTTGTATCTTAACCTTTGGAAAACTACTCAAATGTATGAGACAAACTTCGTAAAATGTTAACTAATTTTTTTTTTAAATAGTAAATAGAGTTATATTGATATATAAGCATCTTCAAATTTAGATTTGTCAAAAGTTGGAGAATCTCAACATGGAATCATATCATTTTTTTTTCCAGTGATGAAGGACTCATGCAGGACTCAGAGCTTTACAATTGTAGCAGATGCCAAAACATAAATAGGAAACTCTGAGTTGCAATTTTAGCCACATTGATGTGTCACATGTATGTTCTAACAGGGTGACAAAAGTTATTTTATATATTTTTTCATTGACTGTTTTACTTTTTACATTGTTATAGCTACAATTTAATCGTAAAATTCATTAGAACGCAATGCGTCTGTTGTTGCTGCGTAGTCTTTTATCATTCTTTTTTATATAATTAGTACAATAATTTAGGAACAAAACGCTGCAAGATTTTTTTAACAGTGATGTACGAGTTTTTATATGTTTAAGTAACCGGCTGTAAATTCAATGTGATATCATGTTGTTGCTCTGACCTTGTAACCTGCCGTAATTCAATGTGATATCATATTGTTGTACTGACCTTGTTCACATGTGTGTCCAGTCCTTCCCAAGGGGCACGCGACGCAATGACCTGTCGTCCTTGAGCAGAACTGATTCAAGCAGTTGTGGCTACATCTGGACTGACAGTTGATACCATAGTAAGTCGGCTCACATTCTGAAACAAACTAAGCTTAATGCAGAGGGGTGCCTTGCGCCCGGGGACTAGATTTATTATTACGCCCCCCTTAACTCTGAAACCCATTATTTTCATGTGAAAGGGAAAAGCATTGTTCACAAGTGATGTTTGTTTCAGGCATCTGTACTGGGCACTGCCCAACCCCCACCCCCCCACCCCAGAAAAGTCAGTTTGAAAATAAATGCTAGGGATTTAGATTTTAAAAATGTTTTAAAATAAATCGTTTAAAATATCCAGACGCTATTGATTGAAGAATTGAGATTAATATGGCATTAGTGCCAAGTATTAGTATGTTCAGCATGAGATGTAGAGCTATTTTGTATTATGATTGTGATTGTGTATAATAAAATATTAAGTCACTCTTTTGACCGCTTCGCGTCTGTTATGATTTGAACCGAGATTGTAACACTAAATTCAGGTAAACGCCAAAATGCAACTATGGATTTTGAAATAACTCTTGTCCTATTTCACCCAGTCGCCATCCTTTCCCTCGCTTTCTGACACACTTCCCGATAAAATAACAGTATAGCTGACCCTGTCGCCAGTTTTGGCGCGTATAGATACACTACCAAGTGATGTAGCTAGGGTTGTGGCACGATAGAAACTCGCAGTTGTCCGAAAATGCCGCCCCTCCATATAAAAAAAAATTGCGGAAAACCCCCTCCGCCAACGCCCTTGACACTGCTAACCCAAACATCTATAATTCTCCGCCCCCCCCCCCAATCTCCCGGGAGTCTGAAAAAAAACACTGCACATATGATACATGCTATCAACAGCTGTACTTAACTTCGCCGTCGATTAATGAAGAAAAAGAACAATCTCGACCACATTTATACGAATGATGACAGTTACCTTTTTCACAGCGGGGTCCTGTATGTCCACTCGGGCAATTAACACAGTGTCCATCCTTGTCATCGCACACCTTCCCTAAACAAACGTCACTGCACTGACTGACACATTTGGGGCCATAGAAGCCGGGATAGCACTCTGTTCAAGATGGCGTACAGAATGTTAGGCTACTCATGTGAAATTGGTCACTATGGTCAGCTAGGGTCAGCTGGTGCCAGCTCAGGTCAGATTTAGACTTGTTGAGGCCCTAATCCTCATAAACCATAGGGGCTATTTTTAGAACTTTAAATGTTATACTGGTATGAAGTTTACTTTGAAATTGCTAGGCACTGGTACACTTTGTAACGCAAATCAATAGACTAGTACATACTTTTTAGCAACTATGATGACCTGCCACTCTCACTTATGGGTCCCTCACTATTCTAAAAGTCTCTTGTTGAGGAGAAATGACCATTGAAAAGATTATCATTTCAAATTTCATGGATAGTGTAACAGTTCCCACACTTACATCGTTGAATGGGTGTTTAAGAAATTGACAGCTTATCTCATTATATCATGTCAAAATCTAGTGAGACATCTTGAAAATTATTTAGAGACACATTAGTTTCTTTCAAACTGCTCAAGCGATGTAAGTAAATTTATTCCATTACATAATGGTTCACTAATCCAAACAAAAATGATTTTGGAACCATTCTTGAATTTGCTCACTGGTCTGGCTGATTGCAGTTATTCTTAAGTATGCATTGACTGGAGTGCGCACCATCAAATAGGTGCCGTCTTTGGAACTTTTATTTTTTTTTAAACTGTATGTGGGCAGCACTTATACACATTATGTCTAAATATCTGGTCCACTGCATGTTTAAATCGTATAGATGTAGACATTAATGCAGAGGCGTAGCTAGATTGTTTGGAGTCCGGGGACAAGATTCATTTTTAAATAAAATTCATTAATACAATAATATCAAAGCACATTTTGGCACTTTCAAATAGTCTAGCACCCATGGACATCTGCACCCACATGTCACCCTTAGCTACGCCTCTACATTAATATTTAAAAAATTACTGGGTCCAAATAATGTACCAACACTTTGACAAAGGCGATTCCACATCTACCTTGAGATATAGATATTGAACACGTGACCCACATATCGTCCCATTGAAGGAACACATCTGTGCACTCCAGCACCTTCTGACAGACGATGTGCACCGCAGTGGGCTCTAGCACCACGCTCTTGTTCATACAAGAAATCCTCTCCCACTCTCTTTGTTGCACGGATCTAAACTGAATGTTGAGTTTGTCCACGCTCTCTGGGGAAACTGAAATGGACAGGAACATTTCAAATACCATTTGAAAACCTTTGATTTATGATGGGATGATTTCTGTCGGTTTCGAAAAGCCATTACATGGTTGATATAGGGTAAATGAAAAGCTGACAGGGGATTTAAGTGTAGAGTAAAATCATCAAATTTTATATGGGATTTAAATATAAGAAACTCTATGCAAAAAGAAGCAACATAAAAGCATAGTTTTAAGAAGCTTACAGAACTGTAATAAGAATTTATTTATAGATAGGAGAGGAAAATAAAGCATATAATGACGTAGGTCATGGGCTTCACCATATCAAAAGTCTCACTCGATACGTAACGTTGTATATCTTTTTGTTTTTGTAAATTTAATAGTTTCGCTCGTAGAATGAACAATTTGTAACAAAGGTCTGAAAAAAAAGCGTGCAAAGAAAACGACACCAAATATAGTGATACTAAGAATATTCAATTTAATGATGCTATTAAATTTCTATAAAAATACAAATTCACATTAACATAAACAAAAAAAAGACGCTATCAACTTAAAGCACATCAAGTGAAAAGGTTTTTGTTGTTGTTGTTTGTCCGTCAAAATATACTAGGACCATCGACTCATCCTGTTATGCGTGATGGTGGGTCACGGTGAGCTCGTAGGTTGCTTGCTAGTCCGATCCGTGCTCGGAATAATCTCTGGCACCGCGGGCAGGGGATAGTTGCTGCATTCGGTGATCTAATGCTGCTCTTTCGGGCAAGCCTCAGCTGTGGTTATCACACTGGCTTCATGAGATTTAGTCCCCTTCTTGACAGATGTTCTCCACCTGGCTCTTTCCTGGGCTGTCTGCTACCATTGAGTATGCTTGATGGTGAAGGCCCTTAGTGACGCTTTCAGTGAGTCTTTGTAATTTTTTTTTTTTACCTCCTTGTGAGCGCTTGCCTATCGTGAGTTCTCCAGAGAATAACTATTTCGGGAGTTGGAGTTTTTCCACACGGGCTACGTGTCCCATCTAACGGAGTTGAGACTGCATCAGGATGGTGATCATACTAGGTAGGTTTGCTCTAGCGAGGACCTCTGTGTCTTGCCAGCGGATGCATGGGACTTTTCTGAGGCAGTGTGTGTGAAAATGGTTCAGTTTCTTGGCTTGACGCTGGCAGATTGTCCACGTTTCACATCCGAATAGCAATATTGACAGGACTGCACTAGTTTTTGAGTCACGGCATTCATTTCTCATCCATGACGACAGATCTGGAGAGGGAGCTGCCCAAGTAAATATATCCTCCGCGTTAAGACGCTGTCCGCTGAAGATGATGTTGGGTTCAACGTAGGGCTTACTGGAAGCTGGCTGATACAACACCTCAGTCATCTTAGTGTTAATTGTGAGGCCTGAGTTGTAGCAGGCCTCGGAGAAGATTTCAACACTGTGTTCCATAGCGGCTTCTGACGCAGCGTTGACGGCACAATCGTCTGCAAACAGAGGCTCATTGATGGTGTTATGTTTGACCTTGGTTTTAGCTTGAAGCCTCCTAAAGTTGAAGACGGATCCATCAGTGCGAAACCGGATTGTCAAGCTCATGGTGGAGTCCTTGAACGCATCAGACAGCATTGCAGAATAAATAATATTGAAGTGTATGGAAGCCCTGCATCACTCCGTTTGTGAAAGGGAATGCTTCAGATAACTGATCGTTGTCCTGCACAGGCCATCATGCCATCGTGCCATCATGCAGTTGACGGATGATGTTGTTGAACTTGTCTGGCCATTCGTACCTCTTAATGATTTTCCAAAAGCCACCTCTGTTCACCCTGTCAAAGCCTTATTCAGGTCGATAAATGTGGAATATAGATCTGTATTCTTCTCCTGACATTTCTCTTGAAGCTGCCTGACAGCAAATCGATAGTTCCGCGTTCTTTGCGGAAACCGCATTATTTTTCAGGTAGGAGACCTAGCTTCAGATTTTCATTCAGGCGGTTCAGAAGGGCTCGGGCCAAGATCTCGCCTGCAATGGACAGCAATGAAATTCCGCGGCGATTGTCGCAGGCCTGGCGGTTTCTTTGTGTTTGTACAGGTGGATAATTGAGGAATCTTTGAGGTCATGTGGTACAGTTTCCGTCTGCCAGATGATCTGGAATAGACGCAATAGCTTATCCGTCGGCGCTGGTCCACCCTCTTTGTAGATTTCGGCAGGAATCATGTCGGAGCCAGGTAAGTTGAAATCGGACATTTGGCGGATGGCTGTCTGTATCTCGACCAAAGTTGGGACAACGTCCAGTCACTTGTTCGTTGGGACCTGGGGGAGTCTTTCAATGGCCTCATCATTAATGATGGAAGGCGCATTGAGCACATTAGCAAAGTTTTCCGCCCATCTTTCCAAGATTTTCTCCTTTTCTGTGATGAGTGTAGAACAGTCTACACTAAGGAGAGGGGAAGAACCTGAGGTAGTAACTCTATAGATTTCTTTCAGACCACTGTAGAAGTTTTTCATGTCTTTCTTGTCTGCAAAGCCCTGAAATTCAACAGGTTTCGCACTCAGCCATGAGTCTTGCATCTTGCGCATTTGCAACTGTACTTTGCTGCGGATGCTCCTCATCGCAGCTGTCTTTGCTGTTGACATTGGCTCATAATGGAAGGCCTTGTACGCCTGACGTGTTTTTTTTCAAGTAGCATTTGGATCGCTTTGTTTTTCTCATTGTGTTTCCTGGTAGATGGTCCGAGTAGGCATGCATTTAAATCTCCAAGTATGATGAGTATGTCAGCAGTTAGTGTGGAGGAGATGAAATTTTTCAGGTCTCCATAACACGTATCTTTGGTCTCTTATGTGTTTGTCATGGTGGGTGCATTAGCACTGACTAAAGTGGCAGCCTTCTTTCCATGACAAAGGGGTAGTTTCAATGTCATGAGACGGTCTTTGATACCTTTTGGAGAGCTGGGAAGCTCGCTCATAAGAGAGGTTTTGATAGCAAAGCCAACTCAAGCTTCTCGCCTTGCGTCAGGTTTGCGTCCACTCCAGAAGAAAGAATAGCCAGCAAGCCTTTCTGCGACTTCACCCTTGCCAGGGAGTCTGGTTTCACTGAGGGCGGCGATGTCTATGTTGTATCTGGCAAGTTCATGGGCAATGAGCGCCTTGCGTCGTTTAGGTCTGTTTGTAGTGTCCATGTCAAGCAGTGTGCGGATGTCGCATGTTGCAATTTTAAGTGAAATAGAATTTATCTTTGATTTTCGACCGCAAAGATTGTAAGTGAAAAGGTACACTAGTCTTAAAATACACATTTAAATTTAAAATATAAATATTAAGAGTACAATCTTGTACGGTTGTTACATATCGTATCATTTTATTAAATACAGCAACAAATTTCCCAATAGGCTTGGAAAGCTGCCAACTTATATAGAGGAATTAAAGTATAACCCTCTGATAAATAATTCTAGAAATGGCGTCACCTGATATCATACTGTGGAACAAATGCAACGCATTCTAAACTCAACATCCATTTCCCAATCAAGGGAGAGGAGAATCAAAGAAATACCACAGCACATTTGATCGCTGACGTCATTATGAAAACAAAACATAAGGGAGGCAAGTGATGGTGGCTAAATTTTGACCTGCGCATATTCCAAATCACGCTGGAAAGATTCCTTAACTTAGTTAAAATCAGGCTAACAGGTTGAAGTAAAAGGAGCCAATGACGCAAGGACATTTGACAATTATAGGACCAATTAAATATAATAAATATGTTACATGATCAGTTAAGATTCAGTAAAAAGGTTATCAGAAAGGGTCAAAGTACAAATTATTATTATAATATGTTTGTGTCTCTCATTTCTCTTACAGTCATTTCTTTGTATAAACGTCGTCCAGGATAACACAGTTAGCAGCATCAAGAAACAGAACGATCATTCATTAATACATATTCATTAATAGATATTAAATTGGTTGGTATATTGGAATGTTATAAAAAAAAATTTGTGTTTTTGGTTTGTATCTCGGAATATTATGAATTACTTTTATCTGTTTTTTTTGGTAGTTTTCTAGGAATAATATAAATTAACTTTTTGTGTGGTTGTTTGGTATCTTCGTATGTCATGAATTAATTTATTGTGTGGTTGTTTGCTATCTTCGTATGCTATGAGTTAATTTTATTGTGTGGTTGGTTTGTATCTTGGTATCTAATGAATTCCCTTGTCACGTGGTGGTTGATGTGTATCTGGTAATGTTACGAAATACCTTTGTATGTGGTTGGGGTGTATCTGGTAATGTTACGAAATACCTTTGTATGTGGTTGGTGTGTATCTGGTAATGTTAAGAAATACCTTTGCATGTGGTTGGTTGGTATCTTCGAATGTTATCTAATCAATCCGACACCTTAACCCTTCCAGAGCTTTGGACGTCTTAAATGGAGTATAGATTAATTCTACCACCAAAGTACCTTGGCTTTTCAATGAGATTGTCATCCAAACAACCGCAATAGGTTTGTCAAAAATCACACGTATCCCTATTTTCTGATCAGTGTGGTTCACACACGTTGTGTCATCGCCATCCACCAGCGTGAAATCTCTCGGTTCCTCTGTGACAGATTTGATTGACAAGTCATCTGTGGAGGGAAATGTTATTGCTTTAATATATAAAGATGTCAACATCATGGACTTAGAGTAGTGTGAGACGGGCTCGGCAATGTAGAATCTACGTTATGGTGTTTTGTTAGCTCGGAACTGAGCGTCGATTCTCATGCTTTGAAACTTATCTGGTTAATTTATTGTATTCTATAGTGTTAATGTATTATGAAGCTTGCTGATAGTCCTTCTATGGATCAATGGTATCAAGACGAAATTTAAGTTGCGTGAAAAATGTGAACAGTCATTTTTAAGTTAATCATGTGGGCTAAGGTTTGGGGACAGTCAAGACATTGAAGGTAGAAGACAATATAATTTACGGTTCAATGCTTTAGGAAACTAGAGGCTAATGTCAATTGTTAAAAGTGTTAGACTCGTTGCTCAGAGTTTCTGATTAAGGTTATTCGTCATGCACTGACCATATCGACATTGGGGTCCGAACCATCCTGACGAACATCCGCCAACACAGCTACCATCTACACCACAGGAACCTTTACAGTGGCAAATATTCTGGCAGTCGGCACCGTAGTGTAGCTGCTCACATTCTGAGAGTAGAAAATGTTTTATTTTAAAAATTGAAATTTTCTACCATAAATTTGTTACTCGAAAGGCTAATCTATATTTTCACGGTGTAATTGTTTGTTATCACTTGAACGAGTAAAGAGGAGTAAAAGCTCTACGTTTAACCTTGTCAACGCTAAATATAAGTCTAGCGTCTCGGGATTTAGAACATCTAAAAATAGGTTATGAGAGAATACGAGAGGTTATACGAGGAGTTTAAGAAGGCCAGTTAGGGAGACTTAGATGGAGAGATTTCGAAAGGACATTTAAATGTTGGATATCCACACTGAAAATATGCAGTGACAAGATTAAATGAAAATCAATCATGATCAAATAAGCTGTTCATAGAATCAAGACCCAATGAGCTATACATACAATAATGACTTAAAGAGGTATTCATACAATTATGAACCAATGAGCTATACATACAATTATGACAGCCTGAGCTATTCATACAATCAGCACCCATTGAGCTATAAACACAATCATGACACATTGAGTTATATATACATTTATTACATAATGAACTATACGCACACTCATGACCAAAAGAGCTATACATACAATCCTAACCCTGTCAGCTATACATACTACCAAGCCCCCAGGAGATATACATTCATTCGTGACATATTGAGGTATACCTACAATCATGACCTAATGAGCTATATCTACAATCATGACCTATTGAGCTAATCCTACAATCATGACCTAATGAGCTATACCTACAATCATGACCTAATGAGCTATACCTACAATCATGACCTAATGAGCTATACCTACAATCATGACCTAATGAGCTATACCTACAATCATGACCTAATGAGCTATACCTACAATCATGACCTAATGAGCTATACCTACAATCATGAACTAATGAGCTATACCTACAATCATGAGCTAATGAGCTATACCTACAATCATGACCTAATGAGCTATACCTACAATCATGACCTAATGAGCTATACCTACAATCATGACCTATTGAGCTATACCTACAATCATGACCTAATGAGCTATACCTACAATCATGACCTAATGAGCTATATTTACAAACATAAAATAATCAGCTATAAATACACGAAGAGCTGGCAAAGTAGACAAACAAATACAAAATTTGTAATTATTTTGAACTCGACCATTCTATTAAAACCTAGTATGTAGAGAAAGTTGAGAGAAAACAAAGGTAGTATCTTAAGTCCAGGCTGTAAAATCTTAGAGTAAGTATAGTAATAATTTAGTGCTTACGGAAGTTTCATAGGATATGTGACCGGAAGCGAGGACACTGGATATGTGACAGAAAGTGATGTCACAGGATATCTGAAAGAAAGTGATGTCACAGGATATGTGACATAAAGTGATTCACAGGATATGTGACAGCAAAGTGATGTCACAGGATATGTGACAGCAAAGTGATGTCACAGGATATGTGACAGAATGTAAAGTCACCGGATATGTGACAGCAAAGTGATGTCACAGGATATGTGAGAGCAAGTGATGTCACAGGATATGTGAGAAAAAGTGATGTCACAGGATATGTGACAGCAAAGTGATGTCACAGGATATATGAGAGAAAGTGATGTCACGGGATATGTGACAGCAAAGTGATGTCACAGGTTATATGAGAGAAAGTGATGTCACAGGATATGTGAGAGAAAGTGATGTCGCAGGATATTTGACAGCAAAGGGATGTCACAGGATATGTGACAGCAAAGTGATGTCACAGGATATGTGAGAGAAAGTGATGTCACAGGATATGTGAGAGAAAGTGATGTCACAGGATATTTGAGAGAAAGTTATGTCACAGATATGTGAGAGAAAGTGATGTCTCAGGATATGTGACAGCAAAGTGATGTCACAGGATATGTGAGAGAAAGTGATGTCTCAGGATATGGGACAGAAAGTGATGTATTAGGATATGGGACAGAAAGTGATGTCACAGGATATGTGAGAGAAAGTGATGTCACAGGATATGTGAGAGAAATTGATGTCACAGGATGTGTGAGAGAAAGTGATGTCTCAGGTTATGTGATAGAAAGTGATGTCACAGGATATGTGAGAGAAAGTGATGCCTTTTCTTCCAACAGTGTCTTGATGTCGGGCATCAGTCCCAAGCCTGGTGTCCAGTAAAAAAAAAACAAATTTCAGGCTTCTAATATTGAATTAAATAACGGAGCATGACATGTTTGGGCTTTGGAACAAAACAACAGGATATCAGGACAACAGGACAATTACATGGACGCTTCGGTTAAATGATTCGTTTGAAGATTATGGTGAAGATGTAGTTCTCTCTATCTCTGGAAACGAAAACCGTGTGTTTGAAACAGAAGTTGAGTTGTTCAAAACCAAAATTTGCCTATCACAAAATATGTATGTGGTGAAGGAATTTAATGTCAAGTTCAATATTTTTAATGGCCAAAGAAAATAAGCATAGAAGGGGCGGTCAATTTTGGACCACTGGGGGGAAAAAACTATTGATTTAGAAATAAATTAATTAAAATAACTTTAAAGAAAGTTTTCAAGCATAATTCATAAGGTTAGTTCAGCTTTTGACACAGTGTCAACATGCAGTCCTAAAAATCAAGTTACAACAGCCGGAAGAAAAATCGAAACAAATTCTTAAATTTTTTAACTTATATATATATATATATGTGTGTGTGTGTGTGTGTGTATTATTTAACAGTAGCTACAAGAAAATAAAGTTCTAACTAAAAATTCTTCAGCATTTAATCTGGCCAATATAGTTAAAATATATTCTTGAATGTATTCGGATCTATTTTTTTGAAGCCACAGACATTTTAAAGAGCTTGTTAGCAAATCAGCTAAATGACCAAAAAAATACGTTCATTTTCTTTTAAGTCTGCGCTATGTTTGTACTACTCCAGCCATTGAACAACGAGAACATGTGTACCAACCTTTCTGTGCGCCCAGCTGCGTACCGAGACATCCTAATATCAACAAAGCGAAATGGCGCGAACTGGTCATCGTCCCTGGCAGGTGAGCATCTGTTCTCAAGCTTTTCAACTTTCAAAAAGGATATTCATCATCTACAGCTTTTGCGAATTCTTGTGTGAATTTCTATCAGCTCATTGTGCCATTATACTAAGTGAATGCCTTGAGGGCCAAATAACCAACTTGTAATATCTGTGCCATGGCTAATCGATTTAAGACTAACAAGACTTTAGGTTGTTCCTAGTGTCGTCACGTGACGCGCTAGGGTTGCTAGTTAAAATGAAATGATAGATCTTGTGTGTGTGTGTGGGGGGGGGGGGGCGTACAATGTGGCAAGGGCCAGGGTCTTAGTGTTGGTTTGTTAGCATAGCTGCCTGTGTCATGAATACCAAGGAAGTCCATCCAATTTATTTATGTAAACTAAAAGATTATGCTAATTCTTTAAAAAGTTGGATTCACTGCCACTGCCACAGAATTAAGCATTAAACTAAATTTTACTTCAGACTTCAGATTTTCATTATTTCAATTGATATTTCAGATTTATAAGAGAGAAGTTACTTCACCTAAAACAAAATGTATGAAATCAGAGTAAAGATTTATCTTAACATTTCCTATTTCCCACAATCCAGGCCGAGGACATTGGACGCGCTCTAATGAATTATAGGATGATATAGAAAACAAATAAACTGCATCAAATATTTGAAACGACACATAAATATTTTTTCCGTGGACCTGACAATATTTAATGTGGTTTAAATGCTGCTTCTCCGTTGGCAAGGTATTAATGTCCCGTTCAAAAAAAATATTTAAGTGCTGTTTTAAGTTTGTATCCATAGAAATTAGTAGCACCTCCAAAAACTGACAAATATTATACGTTCACAAACTAATAAATTGAGATGGTTGACATTATTTAAAATACTACTATGTTCCATGTCATCATAAAATACAAAAGAAAACTTACTTAAATGACAGTTGTTCGCCCCTTCACTACGGAAGCCCTAAGAGTAGACCACGTCCAAATACAGGTAGAGCGGGCCTTGCTTGGTTCCGCGCGTGTCTATTCATAATCATAAAGATGGAGGGGAAACAAAGGCAAATGACGAACTTGTGGAATAAAAAATTAACGATTAAGGCTCTCTTTACTACAGGGCTGTTTTTGCTACTGGGCGGTCATTGCTACAGGGCTGTCTCCACTACAGTGCTGTCTTCACTACAGTGCTGTCTTCACTACAGTGCTGTCTTTGATACAAGGCTATCTATTATACAGGGCTGTCTATTATACAGCGATGTCTTTGATACATTAATGTCTTTGCTACAGGTCTGTCTTTGCTACAGGGCTGTCTATGCTAAAGCTCTGTCTTTGCTACGTTGCTGTCTTTGATACAGGGCTGTCTTTAATACGGGACTGTCTTCGCTACAGTGCTATCTTTGCTACATTGCTGTCTTTGATAAAGGGCTGTCTTTGATACAGGGCCGTCTATCCCGCAGGGCTGTATTTAATACGCTGTTATCTTTGATACAGGGCAGTCTTTGATACATTGTTGTCTTTGATACAGGCCTGTTTTTTATACAGGGCTTCCTTCACCACAGTGCTGTCCTTGCTACGTTGCTGTCTAAGTTACAGGGATGTCTTGGCTACAGTTCTGTCTATGTCCTAGTTCTGTCTTTGCTACGTTGCTGTCTTTGATACAGCGTTGTCTTTGATACATTACACACAAAAAAAAGGGGGGGGGGGGGGGTTGGTTTGTGTTCATAATGGAAAATCGTTCAAAAACCCCATCCCTTTTTCTTAGTTATTGTGGTTGTTAAGTAAGAACAGTGGGCTCTAGGAGACACATTGTTTTTATTTGTGTTTGCCGAGAGTTCCAACATGTTCATAATGGAAAATCGTTCAAAAACACCATCCCTTTTTCTCAGTTGCTGAGACTGAGAAGACTTTGTAGCAATGATGAGGATTTTTGGGAAAGGACAGCTGAAATGTTGGATTTTCTGACACAGGTTATATCCTGAACAAATTTTAAAAGCAGCTGGCGCTCGAGTTAAAGATATGACTAGACAGGATTCTTTTAAAGACACTTATTCTGACGCTAGGGATAGGTTTAAATTTATTTCAACTTTTCATCTCCATAACCTTAAAGCTCGTTTTCTGGTTCTGAAAAACCGCTCAATTCTTATGGCAGACTCTGTAACCAATGATATTTTCAGAAAACCTCTTCTTTTCATTTTCCTGAGGGACAAGAGCCTTAGGGACGCACTAGTTAGAAGCCACTTCCCTGCTATCAAAGCACATAAAGGCACCAAAAATTGCAACCGTAGCCTTTGCAAAACATGTCCCTATGTGATTGAACTTGATAAAGTCACTTTCCCTCTGTAAATATTCAGAATAAAAGATGGCTTTACCTGCACAAGTCGCAACGTGATTTACACCATCATTTGCAAAACGTGTGGTAAAGTATACGTAGGAGAGACAGATCGTCGCCTTGGAGACTGGTTCAGAGAACACCTCTAAAACATAAATAAACAAGCTCTCTGTCCGGTGTCCAAACATTTAAATAGCCCTAACCATGATGGTATCTCAGACATTGCAGTTACTGGTATACTGTATACTAGTAACACAACAGATAGGATTTATATGGAGAATAAATTAATAACACTATTTGGTACGTTGTCTCCATATGGAATAAACCAAATCCACAATTTTTACCTAGCTACCATATCTTTGACATGTCTGCTTTTTACAATTTTGTTCAAATCCTTCCTTTCCACTTTTCTTTACTTTGTTTCTGCCTGTTTTTTTCGCCCACTCCTATTTTTCTCCCTTTTTTAGGTTATGACATCTGTATATATATATATATATATATTATGTAAATTAATTTATACTTATTTCATTGTCTTTTTGTTGTACTGATGAAGGCATGTGCAGAAACGTATACTTACCTTATATTGTTTTATTGACACAATTTGTTGGTGTCTAATTAATCTATTTTAAAGCTTTATCGCAGTCCAACAATTTTTTTGTTACAGGGCTGTCTTCGCTACAGGACTGACATTGCTACAGTTCTGGCTTTGCTACAGGGCTGACTTTGCTACAGGGCTGACATTGCTACTGTTCTGGCTTTGCTACAGGGCTGACTTTGCTACAGTTCTGGCTTTGCTACAGGGCTGACATTGCTACAGTTCTGGCTTTGCTACAGGGCTGACATTGCTACAGTTCTGGCTTTGCTACAGGGCTGACTTTGCTACAGTTCTGGCTTTGCTACAGGGCTGACTTTGCTACAGTTCTGGCTTTGCTACAGGGCTGTTATTGCTACAGTTCTGGCTTTGCTACAGGGCTGACTTTGCTACAGTTCTGGCTTTGCTACAGGGCTGACATTGCTACAGTTCTGGCTTTGCTACAGGGCTGACTTTGCTAAACGGCTGGGAAACAGAAATCTTGTGGAAAAAGCTTTATTTTTTCAGGGGTGGGGGGGGGGGGTTGGTGTTCGTAATGGAAAAGGCCCGAATAAAAAGGGGCAATATATGGGGTCATTGTTATTGCCATACCATTAAAATCTGATACTTAATTGAGGTTGAGGTAAAGACACTACAGGGCTGACTTTGCTAAACGGCTGGGAAACAGAAATCTTGTGGAAAAAGCTTTATTTTTTCAGGGGTGGGGGGGGGGGGTTGGTGTTCGTAATGGAAAAGGCCCGAATAAAAAGGAGCAATATATGACGTCATTGTTATTGCCATACCATTACAATCTGATACTTAATTTAGGTTGAGGTAAAGACCCAGTTTTTGTCTGTCTTAGATAAGTCCCAGCGTTTGTCTGTGTTAGATAAGTGCCAGTTTTTGTCTGTCTTAGATAAGTCCCAGTTTTTGTATGTGTTAGATAAGTCCAAGTTTTTTTTCTGTCTTAGATAAGTCCCAGTTTTTGTCTGTCTTAGATAAGTCCCAGTTTTTGTCTGTGTTAGATAAGTCCCAGTTTTTGTCTGTGTTAGATAAGCCCCAGTTTTTCTCTGTGTTAGATTGGTTCCACTGCTGTATGTGTTAGATAAGTCCAAGTATTGCCAGTCCAAGATTTTGAATTGAATGCAGGGCAGTTGAACTTTTTGTGTTTGACTATCCAATCTTTCAGTAAAAAAATTCTTGATTCTCTAAACCTATTTAAAATGTTAATTTTCATTAAAATAATCTTTCGTTTAAAAAAATAAACTATACATTTCACTATTCTCTTAGTAGGGACTTAATTTTTGAAAATTTTAATTAGATTGAGTTATGTCAACAACAACGTTACAGAAGAATATCATCTATTCTCCCTCTGGTTATCTCCCCCACTTCTCTATCCTCTCTTACTTTTATACTCGCCTTCTCGTCTACACAATCTCCCTGATTCTTATCATCACAACGAATAGAAAAATAATACTTTTTACAATCGTAGAGACACCCACGTAAACAAAATTTCTTTAACTCTCTCGCGCGCTCTCTTTCTCTCTCTCTCTCTCTCTTACTCATTCTCTTGCTTTCATTCTCTCTCTCTTTCATTCTCTCTCTGTTTCTCTCTCTCATTCTCTCTCTTTTTCTATCTCTCTAGTTCTCTATCTTTCTTTCTCTCCCTTTTTTTCCTCTCCCTATTTTTCTTTCTCTCCTTATCTCTTCCTTTCTCTCTCTCCTTACGCACACAGACACACACACAGATACACATACACGCTAACTACTACTGATAGCACTCCAGGATGGGAAGGTTACACAGGCTTAACCATGAGATGTAACCTGGTTCAAATATACCCTATAGTGCATGTGTAATGCCATGGAATAACTCCAATGACAAATAATAAGTTGTGTCCTTTTATTGCTACTGAAATGGATAGAATATTATCAGGTGTTCAGCTTATCCAACGAAGTGACTCAATTTGATTTTCAGGTGAACGTCCAAGTGCAACATTTAATTTGAAAACACAAAATGTTTTCCAAGAAAAGCCTTTACACACCATTTGGTGATGGTGCGAAATTTTGTTTAGAGCACACTGCACTTGAACACTTAAAGTTAATGTTACGGGGCAACATCCACATCTCAAGAGACTTGTTTGTGTTTGAAGATGATTCAGCTTAACTGGAGCCTTGAAAGCTGTAACGGCATCATCAACAATTCTAAACAATCACCCGATGGCATGGTGTCACTGACATCTCGTACGTCAAACGAAAATGTCATGTTATGTTCTTCTTCTTCTATATTAAGGGCCCACGCTCGAGGTATTGCTCATTCTGGCTCCTATGTTTGTAAAGGGGATTTTCAATGTTTCTGTTGCCTGG